GTTTATGATCAAAATATCAGTAGTAAAGGGAGAAAGAAATACCCAAACACCCCAAAATATAAATTATAGTCACAAGTAATGTGAAATAAGCACATTAGCCACCCTTTGGGCTTCATAGGAATAAAATATATTAAGGATTTATACACAAAGAAATATATGTAGCAATGTTTGATGTTGAGTTAGTTCATAGTTTAAGAATCGATTCCACTGCGCATGCAATTTTATCCCGAATTTCTCACCTTCCTTTGTTTAATTAAGAACAAAAGAAGATTTAGACAAAAGGGGAGAAATTCGGGATAAAATCGCATGCGCAGTGGAATCGATTCTTAAACTATGAAAAGGCTTATTGGAGCCACCATACACGTCACGTGCATGAACCTTTATACCCGATAAAGTCCTCTTCATTAGTATTCAAGTGATTTTATATAAAGACACATGTGATCTTTATATAAAGACCACTCGAATACTATGAGGATGACTTCATCAGGGATGAAGTATTCATCCAAGTTTAGATGAAGACATAGAGCTTCATCAAGGTCATAGTCAACCCTAAAGATCTTTGACTAACGTGCCTGTCTTTGCCTTGGCACGCAATATCCAACGTGTGGGAGCTTCTATTGAATCTGGTTGTGCATGCCCGTGACGTCAAATCTCTATCGAAGTATAAGAATCCATGGTCGTGACGTGTATGGTGGCTCCAGTTGAACCAAAATCTCATAAATTGTTCATTAGTGTTTTAAGCAGTTCAAAAAACTCGTAGATCGTGTTTTATCAGGTATAAAAGCACTCGGCTACGCCTCGTGCTTTTATACCTGATAAAACACTCCTACTCGTTTTTTAAACACTACATAATTTGAATAATAAAGTTGTTGAATTATAAGGATTTAACTTTGAAAAAAATTACTATAGTTTTGTATTCTGATCAAATTATTATTCTTATGTTAAAAAGCTGGAACACAGCATTTGCTGAGAAGTGAGGAAGTCAAACTCATTCTCCTCCCTGATACATATAATGTGGACGAGGTAATAGCAAATGTACTTGTCTCCATATCTGTACATGCCCATAAAATATCCCTATAATAATTGCCCTATTTCACTATGACGTCACTTCTTGATTATGTGGGGGATAGAATTGCCAAATCCTATAGAAAATTCAACAAAATTTGCTCCTAGCGAAACAGATTAGTCTAAAATGGCCTTGTTTTCAGATAAAATAATATTCTGAGCGTTTACTAGCTATTCTACTTCTCTTCGTTGATTGATATAATTTTCGGTGAATTTGCGTTGATTTGACCCCGTCCAACGACCATGATCCTTTCCGTTTAAACAATAGATTGTTGAATATTGTTTTGTTGTGATGTCATATTGAATTTGGGCAATCATATTAACCCTTTGAATTCTAAAATCCAGAAACTTCACATAAATGATTGTGAGCACAATTTTTKGTCAACTTTCTAAAGAGCTCTAGGAATACAGGCAGAATAATGAGTTTGGACCTTAATACTCGAAGGGTTAAATGAAAGAATACGGATAAAATGTATATATTTTTAAAAACATGACGTTTTGGCTATAACTTGTGATGGCCTTCTTCAGAACAAATATATAGTGTACATATATAATTGCTTATTTATATTCCACAGGCATGCCAACAAGCGATTCACCTAGGGCGTTCTATTCTCTTCATCATTGGAACAACAGTCTTCACTTTAAACTTGTATTTTTGGACTGACACGATTGTTCTCACATTTTGAACAAATATCCAAAAATAAAGACAGTATTTCCACAAATATGTACATATTTAATGATATCAACAAGTATGTATACAAAAAACGTGTATATAGTAGGGAGGCCTTGGTTTGAGTCATTCATGAACAGGCATCAAAGACGTACAAACCAGATAAGAGTGACAGAAAAAAATAAATTGTTCCTGGTAAAATGTACATTGCAATGGAAAACTACCACACCTGGGGCTTTCAACTATGATAAAATGCTTGTTTACAAGGGGATTACAAGATTTTTTCTAATGGTCTTTAAAAAATGAACAAAATGTAGTTCTATTTCATTGTGAAATGGTATTAATGAACAATTTATATGATCCCATGAGAACACACCAAGCACAACAAAGACTTTTGGACAAATTAATGATTTTCTATTCAATTATTGATGTTTAGAATACAAACGGGACAAAACCTAATTATAATAATAGTATTTACATAATATTGTACTCCATTGGTACCTAAACTCCACAAGGACATAAATTTATGTGTTTGGGCCTGAATACCACAAGGACATAAATTTATGTGTTTGGGCTTGAACTCCACAAAGACATAAATTTATGTGTTTCGGCCTGAACTCCACAAAGACATAAATTTATGTGGTTAGGCCTGAACTTCACAAGGACATAAATTTATGTGATTCGGCCTGAACTCCACAAGGACATAAATTTATGTGTTTCGGCCTGAACTCCACAAAGACATAAAGTCAAATAGATCTCAGAACGTTTAGCTCTATATATAAATGCAAAAGCTCATGTGCTTTGTAAATATCGATGCTGTTCACTGTTTGTGAATTWAACTTGTTTATTTTCTTGCTGCAAGTTCGTACGTTGCACTTTATACTTTATACCAACCAAAAGTAACTTAAGCGTTTCGTATACTAGTAAAGCCGAAGCTGCTGGATTGCAATAAAGTCTTGTAATGCGGCGGTCACGCTTTCGTTATCTACGGGCCATGATACTGTCCATTCAGTCTAGGTCTGCATCCAGAAACTTKAACATTTATAGAAGCAAATTAATAGATGTATTATGTAGAAAGTCTTGTATGAGTCCAACAGAATGACGGTTATAGTTACTAGGAATTAATTGGGTTCAGTTAAACGAAGTTCACGTCCGTTACGTACGAGTATTCAACATATTCAACATCATCTTGTTTCATCATGCCACATGTCGATAAAGTGAAACTTTGTCTTGTCATAAACCACATTTTGATTCCAAACGCTTCATAGATTATCCAATACAGTAATAGCGAAAGGAATAAATTGCTCACAATGTAAATCGTCTTTGGTAGAAATGTCGTTGCTAGTGATATGAGCCAATATTTTTAAACAAGTTTGACCTCGGTACTGTCAAACAAATGTCAAAACACCGCTTCCGGTTGCGGTGCGTATCTCTTGATTAAACGAATGTTTTCATAGGTTAGTTTTTAACTCTCGGATATGCGAAACGTACTCGAAGCGTAGAAACGAGACGTTAAAATCATACGAGATGGGCAGCATCTTTTTTGAAGATTCGATAAAAATCTAGCCTCTCTCTATACTTCTTCGATCGACAATATATGTCAACAAGGAAAGCGTTTCATTTTTCATCAATAAATATATTTACACGTTGAATCGTAAGACTGTCCGAGCAAAATATATACCAGAAAGAAATCGTTTCCAATAGTAGTAAAATAATCGAACAATACTAAAACTACCGTAATGAAATATTGAATTATTCGAATTTTCCAGAGCCATGAACACATTTTGCACGGGAAAATGTCGTGAGCCAGCTATCATGGCAGGCCACACCAACACACTGACGCGTGTAATGCACCGTCATATTTAGCAAGGAATAATTAAACGTGATCATGAATTGAAATTAATAATATGTCAGTATAGAGCATTTACTTTCCTCACTTGCTCTCCTAGAAGTAGAATATATAAAACCAAGACAGTATTTATTTGATCTTGAGGACGACGGTCAAAGGTCTTTGGTATTGTACCATGCTTGATATTTACAGTGTACATTGTAAATGCAACGTGAATCGAGCTATAAAGTTATTATTATTTCACTCAGCCAACTTATTATTTATTTGCTCAGTTTTATAGTAAATTAGATAAGAATATGAGTCCCCGACTTTAAATTCACCGATTAAACTAGGTTATGAACAAAGGTGAACCAATCTGCATGAATTTGTTTAGTCATTTGATAATGCTGGTTATGACCCATGGTGGTCCATTATGTGAACTATGGACTGGAACCTGGACTGGAGTATTTCAAAAAGCCGTCAAAAGTGTCCATGACATTCGAACAGTGACCTGTGTTATTTCTTTTGCTTTCCGTCCTTCGATCAAACTGTGAGGAAGTGTATTGTCTTCTCTGTCGAACGCCTTCTCTTGGCCTTATCGTTTATATATCATGTATAAAGTAAGTGAAGCTTGTTTTACATACTCTATTAAAATTCACGTATAATATATGACATATTGCGATGGGTTGTACTAATGTTTTCTCTCTCTCTCTCTCTCTGGGTTTCTTTTAGATTTTGGAAAAGCCTGCGTCAATGCCTCAAACGATGGCATTTCAAAAAAACAGCGACGGGGGAATTAACTAGAAATATCCTACACGTGGAGATCCGGCAATTCAAAAAGACCAGGATGTACTGTTGGTAAGTTGATTTTAAATATCCAAGTCTTTATTTTTGGCCGTTGCAAATAAGGAAATTTTGATCTGTAACATAATATGATTACGGAAATCCAACGAGTGTAAACATGACCAGACGGACTGCGCACTACGATATCGCAATGCACAATTTGTGTATGATATGAAATATGAGTCAACCACAGTACTTCAATTTCTATGTTTTGAGCTTTTCACATTTTTTTCTCCATTTTTAATGCAGCGGTTGCTGAAAAAACTTAAAATAAACTTCAATCAAGACTTTTTAAAGTATTTACAAAGCCGATGACAAACAAACTGTATTTGACCCAAGAGGTCAAGCGTTGCGTTAAAATATTCCACGGCTAAATAAGAAACAATCTAAAATGGTTTTACTGTAATACTAATAATTGGTTTTTGCTCTTCCTTTCAGATAACTTACGAAAATATTATGGCCGTCCGGTGAATCGAAATTTTATTTAAAATTACAAAATCTAAAGCGACCAAATTTGCTGTACTGTTTGCAAACTCGACTTCAAGCAACAAGGTTCAGGCACATAAATTTATGTAACGTAGGTTCAGGCACATAAATTTATGTAACGTAGGTTGAGACACATAAATTTATGTAACGTAGGTTGAGGCACATAAATTTATGTAACGTAGGTTGAGGCACATAAATTTATGTAACGTAGGTTCAGGCACATAAA